GCCGTTTTCATGGCTGACAACGACTAACGGTGAACGGAAACGTCGCGCCGTAGGTGTGTGTTCGTTTACAACAATCGTACAACCGGCCAGCATGAATCAGTCATCAGTTACTTACACTTGATGACCTAAAAATCGTCAAATTCCGTGACTCACTACAAAACGGACCGACCCCGCCGACGTGTTGTCGGTGAGATGACGCCGCGACAAAACCGTCGCCGCGCCATACACAACAGCTAGTTACAAGTAGCTAGCGGCAGATCCGCACCACACGCCAGTGGCTTCGGTGAAGAAACTACAATGCACTACATTCACCGTTGATCGCAACAATAATCAGACAAAATCAGGCCAACTTTGACTTCAAATCGTTGAACTGCTGAAGCACGAAAGCCATCTGACCCGTACCGACATTTCGGCTAGTGTCTGACCGACCTTCTTCGGTGTGGACAAAACTGATTCGTGCCGTTGGATTTGTGCTCCGCAGTGGCTGTAACGTTAGGAGCATTTTTTGAACGTAGTTTTAAAATGAACAAATACAACATCTGCTGCAAACCACAGAGCAACCGCAGAAATCGACCCTGTTCCTCCGAAAGAAGTGCTCCTGAGACACGAGCCACCAAAACGTCGGCACCGATTAATAACCCGACTGACCAATCTGCTTGTCTGCCTGCGTTATGTACGAATAAACCGTCTGTGTTTTTGTACGGTTTCAGCATGATCTGCAACGCATGAACGCGTAACACACAAAATCTCAAGAGAGAACTTGTGGCAAAATCCTGAAGATGCGTTTGTACATCGATGGACGGAAAACACTGCCGATGACTAGGTGATGCTTCGATCGTTTTGATAGCGAAGATTTATCGAACTCAGCGAGCCATCGGCCTGCACGGTTCGCTTCACCGTCGTCAACTGTCAATTGTCAACTACAACTAACAATTGTGATCACACTCGCGCCAGAATGATGACTGCGTTCGAAACGTGACACTCGCCGACAACACACTTGTCGCACAGGCATAAGCAGTAGTAAACACAGTTTACGTAAAAAAAAACCTAGTCATTGCACATATCACTGAAAATCTAGTTGAGGCCGGTCAAAAGCAGTGACCGGCGAATCGAAATAATTTAAAACGCGTCAGTAGCCCGCTGCTGAGGTGACATTCGTCGGACATGAGATGCGCGACGCGATACACTTCTCAACCTCTATGATTAGTCGAGATAGTCGAGGGCGGCGGAATACATAGGTCCCGTACCGGATGTAACCTGCGAATCAGGGTACCGACGCGCGTTCCGGCTGAGCCGAAGCCCGAAATTCAGAGCAATCACTATGGTCCCCAAAAGCCAGGCAATAAGGTGCGACTGTTGCAGGGAAAAACCAAATGTAGCGATTGATACTTACTCCTCCAATGAAGACGACAATGACGACGGCGGTTTAACGTCATCAACCATGGACGTTGTCGCTTGCCGACGGCATGAAACGACGGCGGCCAGCAAGAGCAGGGGTACGAGCGCCAGTGACGCTGCGAACTGCGACGTCGTGTTACGGAGACTGGGACCTCGACAATTAGCAGTACTAGCAGGACACGATCGAAA